AAATTGAGATACCGGGGCCATTACCCGGTTTCGGTTTGAGAGTATCCTCCAAGATCATAAACAAGCTACTGAACTTCGGGATAGATGATGAGAAAACTACGTATCCTTTTTTACGATCGCTAAACACCTCCTGAAATCCACAGCAAATTTCCGAACACTCAAGTATAAGGGATTTCCAACAGATCATAACAAAGCTCACCAAAACTGACTTATTCTCTGACAAACTCATCCAGGCCTCACGCCCCCTATCTGCTAGGTTACAGAGCAACGCGACTCACTCCAGCTCCGGCTAGTGTCGTCCTATGTCAGCAACCCCCAGCTGTCCCTTAGGATGCCCCCGTATAACATCCCTAGATCTCTCTACAAGGCCTCATGCCCTCACCTTCGGCAAGTTACAAGGCATCACCCCGGCTCCGGCCAGCATAGCCACAAATCCTGAATATAACAGTCTAATTCCAGTGCAGCTTCGTACAAACCACCAGCAGACCCGCAGAATCCTAAGAGATTCTTCAAACTACCAGGAATAACAAGGGTGCTTGTTTTGAAAATTCTAAAAAAAATCAGGAAAAGTTTCAACCAAGTACAAGCGAAGGATATAGAAATTCCCCCCTTTCTCCTTTGTCCCCCGGCCCCACCACTGCCTCCACCGAAAAGGACCACCCCTGATCACGAACACTCCTCATCGGCCCCAACTTGGGACGGACCCGTTTGCCCCCCCTACTCCCACAGAGGCACCCAGTTCCCACCCAAAGTATGCCTCTGCCGACCCCTTGCCCTTATCTGCCACCGCTACCGACCTATACATCTCCCCCAGCCCCAGAATAGAGCATTCCCCAAAATCTGCCCTGTCTCCCTTCAGGGCAATCACCTCCCTCCTTGTGAAGCCCTTGCAGAGTAGATCTCTCTCCCTCAGAACCAACCCACCACGCCACCAGAAATAATTCGTTTACGCTTGCGGGAATCAAAATTCCGCACGTTGCTATGGATTATTTCCCCCCCCTCCTGTCCATTTCCCCCTATCCCTCCGCTGCCTCCACTGAAAAGGACTGCCCTGATCACAAGCTCTCCTTATCGGGCCCAACTTGGGACATACCCGCTTCCTCCCCCTACTTCCACTAAGGCATCCAGTTCCACCCAAAGTATGCCTCAGCCAACCCCTCAACCTTATCTGCCTCCGCTGGGATATGATGTCAGCCCTACATCTCTCCCAGCCCCAGAATAGGGCATCCCCAAAAAATCTGGCCCCACTCCCTCCAGGGCATTTCACCCCCCACCCTGTGAAGCCCCTGCAGAGTAGAGCTCTCCTCCTTAAAACCCCAACCCCCCACCTGCGCAGAGATAATTCATTAGTGCGCCCAAAGGGGGATCAGAAATTAATAATGGAGAACAGAAAAAACGAGGAGTTTAGGAGATAAAATTCCTAAGATATAATTGGAAGAATCGAAAATTTCTGAAAATTATGATCGGAAATTTCTGAAAACAGATGAGATTTTTGTTTTTTTGAATACAGGCAACACCATGATGATGATGATGATGATGATGATGATACTAAAGAGCAGCGCCAGCAGCACCCTATGATCACAAGTTGATAATGATGATGATGATGATGATGATGATGATGCTGCTGCTGCTGCTGCTGCTGATGCTGATGCTGCTGCTGCTGCTGCTGCTGCTGCTGCTGATGATGATGATGGTGATGATGATGGTGATTATGATAATGACGCATAGCACCCT